CAGCTGGCCACATGTACACCTGTATATGAGTTCAGGTGATGATGTTCACAGCTGTACACCTGAGCACATGCACACCTGTATAGGAGTTTAGGTGATGACCTCCACAGGTGTGTAGCTGACCACATGTACACCTGTATATGAGTTCAGGTGATGACCTCCACAGGTGTGTAGCTGACCACATTTACACCTGTATATGAGTTCAGGTGATGATGTTCACAGCTGTACACCTGAGCACATGCATACCTGTATAAGAGTTTAGGTGATGACCTCCACAGGTGTGTAGCAAACCACATTTACACCTGTATATGAGTTCAGGTGATGACGTTCACAGCTGTACACCTGAGCACATGCACACCTGTATAGGAGTTCAGGTGTATCATTGTATCGGCTGTATCGTTCCGTAGTAGTGAAACAGGAGCCGACTTCTTGAACAAAACTCTCTGTTTACAAGGTCGATCTACGTTCCCAGCCTCGCCTATGGTCACGAGCTTTGGGTAATGACCGAAAGGATGAGATCGCAGGTACAGGGGGCCGAAATTAGGTATTTCTCCGCAGGGCTGCCGGGCCCCACGACTCTCCGTGATGGGGCGATGAGCTCGGCAATCTGGGAGAGTCTCAGAGTCGAGACGCCGCTCCTCCGGATCGAGAGGGGTCAGTCGAGGTGGTTCTGGCACCCGGTAAGGATGCCCCCCCCCCCCCCCCCCAGGTAGACTCCACCTGGACCCCTACCGGGCAGCAGCAGCAGCAACGTCCCACTGGGCTAAGACCGCCGGGCCGGCCCAGGACCACGCTGCTGCTGCTGCTGATGCTGCTGGCGGGCCGTGCCGCTCGGCTGGCCTGGGAACACCTGGGGATTCCCTAGGAAGAGCTCGAGTCTGTGCATAGTAGTGTAGTGTATAGTAGTTCATAGTGTAGTAGTGTATAGTGTAGTAGTGTAGTGTATAGTAGTTCATAGTGTATAGTAGTTCATAGTGTAGTAGTGTATAGTGTAGTAGTGTATAGTAGTTCATAGTGTAGTAGTGTACAGTAGTGTATAGTGTAGTAGTGTAGTGTATAGTAGTTCATAGTGTAGTAGTGGATAGTAGTGTATAGTGTAGTAGTGTAGTGTATAGTAGTTCATAGTGTAGTAGTGTATAGTAGTTCATAGTGTAGTAGTGTATAGTAGTGTATAGTGTAGTAGTGTATAGTGTATAGTAGTTCATAGTGTAGTAGTGTATAGTAGTTCATAGTGTAGTAGTGAATAGTGTATTGTAGTGTATAGTGTATTGTAGTGTAGTGTATAGTAGTTCATAGTGTAGTAGTTTATAGTGTATCGTAGTGTATAGTAGTGTAGTGTATAGTAGTTCATAGTGTAGTAGTGTATAGTGCATCGTAGTGTATAGTAGTGTATAGTGTAGTAATGTAGTGTATAGTAGTTCATAGTGTATAGTAGTGTATCGTGTATCGTAGAGTATAGTGTATAGTAGTTCATAGTGTAGTGTATAGTAGTTCATAGTGTAGTAGTATATAGTAGTTTATAGTGTAGTAGTGTACAGTAGTGTAGTGTATAGTGTAGTAGTCTATAGTAGTTTATAGTGTAGTAGTGTATAGTAGTGTAGTAGTGTAAAGTGTAGTAGTGTATAGTGTAGTAGTCTATAGTAGTTTATAGTGTAGTAGTATAGTGAAGTAGTGTACAGTAGTGTATAGTGTAGTAGTGTACAGTAGTGTAGTCTATAGTAGTCTATAGTAATGTACAGTAGTTTATAGTGTAGTAGTGTACAGTAGTGTATTGTGTAGTAGTCTATAGTAGTCTATAGTAGTTTATAGTAGTTTATAGTGTAGGAGTGTAGTGTATAGTAGTTCATAGTGTAGTAGTGTATAGTAGTTTATAGTGTAGTAGTGTAGTGTAGTAGTGTATAGTGTAGTAGTGTATAGTAATGTAGAGTGCTGTCGCCAGGGAAAGGGAGGTGTGGACCGCCACTACTCAACAAGCCGCCGCCGCGACCCTCACCAGGACAAGCGGACTGAGAAACAAACGAATTACATCGGCGTCGAGGTGATGTTCACACCTGAACACCGCCACAAGTGAGCAGGTGGTCAAGGTGTGCAGGTGATGACGCCCATACACGTGCATACACCCGGACCACGTGCACTGCTGCAGACGAACAGGGTTGTAGGGCATTTTGATTAATTGGGTAATTATTGCAGAAATTACTCCCAAGGGATTATTGCATTGCACTAACGCCGCTTGTTAATTGCCCCGCGACATCGTCGTCGTTGCCAATTTAGGCCACGGCCTAAAATGCACGGGATGGGAACGTTTCTATTTCCAAAATTCAAATTGCAGAGACACAACAAACGAGCCTCTCCCCGTTCGCCCTCCACCCCGTGTCGTTGGGGCAAAGGGCGCTGCGACAAATAATAGCGAGCGCCTATCCGGCAAGGTCGGGCCGCGCGCCTTTGCCTCCCCAAGTGCCGACGTTTTACGCACGGCGCGGGAAGGGCCCCGGGTCGTTCGTGCCACTCGTCACAACTTGACGGATGGCCATGTCGACGGATTTCTAGCTCAGTGCGCTAACTATTGCGTCACTACCCCCCCCTCCCCCAAATGTAAACTCTCACACATCAAAGTACCCCGAGCAAGGACCGCAGGAAACCAGGTCTCTCTTCCCCTTGCCAGAGGACACGGCAATCTGTCGACTGTCACCTGGCTAAATAAAGAACTCTCTGGGTTCGACGAGACTGACGATGAAGGCGGCCACGGGTCGCGTGATAAGGCGGGCGGGGTAGGCGAGACAGGATCCTGCCAAACCTGGTCGGTCGTATCAGCCAGCAACATCAGTTTGTCCTCTCTCCACCACCTTCTGTCACCATACCTCTGACGGCACACGTAGTCGGTCTTACTTGCACACATTCCGCACACAGGTAAGACCGGACCGCCTGCCTGAACGTAACTCTGGACATCAGAATCTGACGACTCCAATGTGCTCATTCAGGTCTAAGACCCAACACCTGCGTGTCCACACACACACACACCTATATATTAATCATGACACCCGTTTGTCTCTGAACCTATGTGACCGAAAACCTGTGTGCTCCTGCACCTGTGACTGACCGCACACCTGTGTGTGTGTGCTCCTGCACCTGTGACTGACCGCACACTGTGTGTGTGCTCCTGCTCCTGTGACTGACCGCACACCTGTGTGTCTGCACCTGTGACTGACCGCACACCTGTGTGTGTGCACCTGTGACTGACCGCACACCTGTGTGTGTGCTCTTGCACCTGTGACTGACCGCACACCTGTGTGTGCGCTTGCACCTGTGACTGACCGCACACCTGTGTGTGCACCTGTGACTGACCGCACACCTGTGTGTGCGCTTGCACCTGTGACTGACCACACACCTGTGTGTGTGCTCCTGCACCTGTGACTGACCGCACACCTGTGTGTGTGCTCTTGCACCAGTGACTGACCGCACACCTGTGTGTGCGCTTGCACCTGTGACTGACCACACACCTGTGTGTGTGTGCTCCTGCACCTGTGACTGACTGCACACCTGTGTGTGTGCTCCTGCACCTCCGACTGACCGCACACCTGTGTGTGCTCCTGCACCTGTGACTGACCGCACACCTGTGTGTGTGTGCTCCTGCACCTGTGACTGACCGCACACCTGTATGTGCTCCTGAACCTGTGACTGACAGCACACCTGTGTGTGTGCTCCTGTGACTGACCGCACACTGTGTGTGTGCTCCTGCACCTGTGACTGACCGCACACCTGTGTGTGCTCCTGCACCGCCGACTGACCGCACACACGTTTCTGGCCACAACACACTCGTGGAAAACGACCAAACAAACCCCAGCCATGGACACATTCCGTCCACATCCGCCCGCACGCCTCCCAAGTTTCTCAATCTTGAGGTTACATTCCCCATCAAGGGCACCTCCGACTCGCACGGTTCACCACGTACGGTGCGAAAGAAGTTCAACACACAGTAACAATACAGCGCCTCGATTCTCTTGGTGTGTACCTACACACATCTTGGGGGGGGGGGGGGGCACTCGGTGGTTCTTGGGGTGGGATTTAGAGGGATGGAGAGATGGGGGGGGGGCTGGTAGGGATGGGAGGGGGGCTGGTAGGGATGGGGGGGCTGGTAGGATGGGAGGGGGCTGGTAGGGATGGGGGGCTGGTAGGGATGGGGGGGGCTGGTAGGATGGGAGGGGGGCTGGTAGGGATGGGGGGGGCTGGTAGTGATGGGGGGGCTGGTAGGGATGGGAGGGGGCTGGTAGGGATGGGAGGGGGGCTGGTAGGGATGGGAGGGGGGCTGGTAGGGATGGGAGGGGGGCTGGTAGGGATGGGAGGGGGGCTGGTAGTGATGGGGGGGCTGGTAGGATGGGAGGGGGGCTGGTAGGGATGGGGGGGCTGGTAGTGATGGGGGGGCTGGTAGGGATGGGAGGGGGCTGGTAGGGATGGGAGGGGGGCTGGTAGGGATGGGAGGGGGGCTGGTAGTGATGGGGGGGCTGGTAGGATGGAGGGGGGCTGGTAGTGATGGGGGTGTACCTAGGAGGGGGGACCCCGAGTGAAAGACTTGCCAAGCTGTTGGACACAAACCAGCGAGCGACTTGCGATGAACCCAGCAGAGAGAGAGGGAGGGGGGAGGGAGCGAGTCGAGGTGCATTGCGAGTAGTAGTTCACATTCTAAGACGATGGCGTAGACGAGGCTTCTTTCGAAGGGTGTTTCATCTTATTGTTATTGTAGGGCGCGGTTCAGGATGTTTTAGTCTCCCCCCCCCCCCCCCCCCGTGTGAGGCTGTACAAGTTTGGGGTGTACAGTCGTTGTTCGCGTAGATCAGAGGGTGTAGTCCGCACTTGTAGACGAAGAGGGTGCTGTAGTTCACAGGGTGTACATTCGGCGCGTAGATCCGAGGTGTTGTAGTTCAGGGTGTAGTTTGTGTGGCTGTTGTACAACGAGGGCTGCGTACACACGGTGTGTGTAGTGTGTGTGTGTGATGTGCGTCTCTCACCTTGTAGGCGTTCTCCGTCAGGCGGTTCACCTCCTCGTCGGGCCGCGCCATGCCGGGTGAGACACGGGGGCAGAGGGGGGGTACAGAGACAGGCGGTGATGGAGTTCCTCCCCGAGACAAGAGACGGTGGTGGGTGGAAGACTTAAGAACAACACGCAACACCACACGCACAGCCGACAAGACCAGCGGCTAGCCGAGAAGAGAGAGAGACACACACACATACACACGGAGGAGACAAGGACACGGGTCAAACTAAACTATGAGACAGAGAATGGTCGAGACGCAGTCGGTCCCCCCCCTCCCCGATCACAGAGCACGAATCCAGCCCCCGACTGCCGCGAGCCACAGCAGCGACTGGCACCGGGCGGCTTGACGCCTCCCCCTTTTATAGACACCGGAGGCGCGGAGGTGCGGGGGGGGAGGAGTTTGGTGGGGATAGGGGGCGGGGAATTGTGTTAAAAGTAGGAGGAGCTTAGTTAAGAAGGGAGGGGCTTAGTTGATATGGGGGGAGGGGCTTAGTTAAGAAGGGAGGGGCTTAGTTGAGATGGGGGGAGGGGCTTAGTTGAGACGGGGGGGGGCTTAGTTGAGATGGGGGGAGGGGCTTAGTTGAGACGGGGGGGGGGCTTAGTTGAGATGGGGGGAGGGGCTTAGTTGAGACGGGGGGGGGGTTAGTTGAGACGGGGGGGGGGGTCTTAGTTGAGACGGGGGGAGGGGCTTAGTTGAGACGGGGGGGGGGGTTTGTTGAGACGGGGGGGGCTTAGTTGAGACGGGGGGAGGGGCTTAGTTGAGACGGGGGGGGTTAGTTGAGACGGGGGGAGGGGCTTAGTTGAGACGGGGGGAGGGGCTTAGTTGAGACGGGGGGAGGGCTTAGTTGAGACGGGGGAGGGGCTTAGTTGAGATGGGGGGAGGGGCTTAGTTGAGACGGGGGGAGGGCTTAGTTGAGACGGGGGGAGGGGCTTAGTTGAGACGGGGGGAGGGGCGTAGTTGAGACGGGGGGAGGGGCTTAGTTGAGACGGGGGGGGGTTAGTTGAGACGGGGGGGGGGGTTAGTTGAGACGGGGGGGGCTTAGTTGAGACGGGGGGGGTTAGTTGAGACGGGGGGGGGGTTAGTTGAGACGGGGAGGGGGGTTAGTTGAGACGGGGGGGGTTAGTTGAGACGTGGGGGGTTAGTTGAGACGGGGGGGGGGCTTAGTTGAGACGGGGGGGGGCTTAGTTGAGACTGGGGGGGTTAGTTGAGACGGGGGGGTTAGTTGAGACGGGGGGGGGCATAGTTGAGACTGGGGGGGTTAGTTGAGACGGGGGGGTTAGTTGAGACGGGGGGGGGGCTTAGTTGAGACGGGGGGGTTTGTTGAGACGGGGGGGGGGCTTAGTTAAGACGGGGGGGTAGTTGAGACGGGGGGAGGGGTTTAGTTGAAACGGGGGGGCTTAGTTGAAACGGGGGGGTTAGTTGAGACTGGGGGGGGGGTTAGTTGAGACGGGGGGGGTTAGTTGAAACGGGGGGGGGGGGGGCTTAGTTGAGACGGGGGGGGGGTTAGTAAAGACGGGGGGAGGGGGGGTTAGTTAAAGCATTTTATTTTTATTTTACCAGTGAATCCCACTGAACTATTAACTTATTTTTCAGCACAACAAAGTGGCTTACCACGTGGACATTTATAGCAGCAACATTATCGAAATAATCTAAGACGGGGGGGTGGGGTAGACTTAGTTAAGACGTGGGGGACTTAGTTAAGCCGTGTGCAGGCGACAGTATATGATGAATGTGGAGCCGCGTGTGTATGAATGCGGAGGTGTTCATGTGAAACTGGCTATTTGGTTATTTGATGCTGCTGCTGCTGTTTAACAAGTAGGCTTTCGCCACCAATATTATTCATAATCAACGTTTTGGGGTTTAGATCGCGTTATTTATAAATGTGTCGTAACCCTCCACCACCCGCACGGCCAATCAGTAAAAAAGTGTCACGTTGACAAAAGACAAATTAGTTCACTGCTTTAGCCCACCAGTGTGTTGAAGCGCGAAACCACAACATTTACAATTTGAGTACGACGTTTCGCTGGTAATTGCAACCAGCATCATCGGGCAATTCGCCACTTGCCCGCTAAAGCAGTGAACTAATTTGTCTTTTGTCAACGTGACACTTTTTTACTGATTGGCCGTGTCGGGTGGTGGAGGGTTACGACACATTTATAAATAACGCGATCTAAACCCAAAAACGTTGATTATGCTGCTGCTGTGTTGGCAGTGGTTCTAAATTGCAATAAATAAATATCACAGGCGACGTTTCGGAAATTACCCTTCAGAACACACCACCAGGGGCGCGGTATGTGTTTCAGTGGCAGATATCATTACTGAACTCACATTTGAAATAAAGCCTCACTAAGTCTCAGGATTATCTTCTTGGTTCTTTCGGTAAAGTCACGTAGTAGGGAAGTAATAAAATAATAAAAATTAAACAATAATTATTTTATTACTTCCCTACTACGTGACTTTACCGAAAGAACCAAGAAGATGAATCCCTGCAGTCACGAAAGCTTTAAATCGAAAAATCTCAGGATTATGTTTCAACAGAGTCCTGTCAAGTCTCCATAGTTTATAGGTGGTGATGTTGTTGCTGCTGCTGCTGTGTAAATCCCAATCAAGTAGGCCATTGCAGACCATTTTTCCAGCAGTGGGATGTTTTTTGGCGAAAAGCAGTTACATTGTTGGGTGGTGGTTGTTTGTTGTTGTTGTTTTAATCTTTGGAAGGAAATTGCCGAACCCGGAGGAAACCCATGCAGAACACGGATGGAGGATATACCATCTCCAAACAAAAAGGCGCGCTAGTCGGGAATCGAACCCAGGACCTTCTTGTTGCGAGGCACACGCATTTGGGGGTAGTTGGACGAGTGGGATGGACTTATATGTGTTTTTTTATTTTAAAAGGGTTAACTTAAGTTGGATTTTTAATTGTCCTATGATCAATCTAAATAATAATCTGCCAGAGCCTTGCAGATGCGACTCCAGCATTTCATGGTCTCTTGAGTTATATCGCCTGTAATTAATAAACTCGTAACTTTGAAACGTTACAACAAACAGCACTAAAACTAAATTGGTCAACAACCCGGTGGCCTTTTAAAGGAGACAAAACAAACATATCCGACGTTTCGGGCAATGGCTGCCAAGTCAACAGTATCACACAAAATAACGTGACACTTTCAAACTCGTACGATACGAGCGTAGATCGTAAGGGGCCGTCCATAAATGACGTCACGCACCTGGGGGGGGGGGGTCAGACATTTGTGACGATGTGTGACGGGGGGGGGGGGTGAGAAATGTGACGTCACATCAAAATTCGCAACTTTAAATAAATATAGACAACACGTTCTACTTCATTAAATATACGTTTTAATACATGTTTTCTACTACAACATCAGAGTGCAGCGCCACGTTAAATACGCACTACAATGACAATAGTTTAAAGCGATTTGAAGCATGTTTTATTTTTTGGGGGAGGGGGGCTCAGCTTTGTGACGTCATATTTGAGGGGGGGGTCTGACTTTTTGTGACGCCGTGTGACGAGGAGGGGGGGGCGTCACGTGATCACAACTGATATACGAGTGATTTGATATACAAGTGCTTTGGATTACAAACACGTTTCCGGAACGCATTATGCTCGCAATCCAAGCTTTTACTGTACGTATAATATCAATAAATACATAGGCGTTTGATGAAAGAAAGTAATTTGTATTTGTACATTCGATGATTTACCTTCTAACAACAATAAATCTGGCCCTATGTCGCACTTCCCGTCAGGTTTAAGAAACCACCGCTCAGTTTAACATAGATGTGTTGTACAACAACAACAACCACGCAGTAGCGTGGTCAACACATCTACGCCTCTATATAAGGAACGAAACAGGAAGACTTCTCCACAAATCTGGCTGTCGCCTGATGAAGCTAGTTGTAATTACTGGCGAAACGTCGTACTCAGTTTGTAAATGTTATGGCTTGGCTCTCCAACACACCGGTTAGTGTTGTACTAGTATACTACACTATACACTACACTATTATACACTACACTACTATACACTACACTAGTATACTACACTATATACTACACTATACACTACACTATACACTACTATACACTGCACACCAGTGTGCTGTACTAGTATACTACACTATACACTACACTACACACTAGTGCTGTATTAGTATACTACACTACACTATACACTACACTACACACTACACACTAGTGCTGTACTAGTGACGAATTGGCCACGTTCTGTTTACGTGACAACCCCTTGCTCGTTGGCTGTGTCGGGTGGTGGCGGGTTTTAACGACACGTGTTTTATTTACGCGATCTGACCCAGAACCCACCGCTGTTGACAATCGAGGGGCGTGGCGTGAGGGGAGGGGCGAGGCCGCGATAGGGGGCTGGGCCTCGGGATGAGGGGGAGGGGCCACCGCTCGTCCCCCAACCCCTCTCTGACGTCACCAACACACCTGGGCACGTCCCGTCGCTATGGAGACGGAGTGTGTGTGTTTACGTGTTGATGCACTGTGTGTGTGTGTTTAAATATGTGTGTGTGTGTTAAATGGAGTGTGTGTGTGTTGTCTATGTGTGGGGAGCGGTGGCGTAGCGGTTAGCGCACTGCGCTACTGAACCTGGTGACCCGAGTTCGATTCCAGGTCACGGGCACCACCACCAAGTGACGATTATCTGAACCGGTCCTGGGCCTCCCCTAGGTCGACTCGGCCTCAAATGGGTACCTGGTTCGGTGGGTAGTGAACATCCATACGGGAGACAAAGGCGGCCGGGCGTGGTGCTGGCCACCCACCCCTCCGTGTGCCACAGTGCCAGTGGCCTTCATAGGTGCTCACTAACAGCACTTGCCCCAACATTCTGTTCAGGCTATACGGGGGACCTTTGTCTTTGTCGTGTCACTTTGTCACTGAATGTTGGCGGTGAGTGGGGTAATCGAACCTTAGTTGGCCGCCGGGTTCACTGTTTGGGCAAGTGTTGTTAGCGAGCAGCACCCATGAAGGCTATTGGCACTGTGGCACACGAGGGGTTGGGTGGCCAGCACCACTCCCAGCCGCCTTTGTCTCCCTACCACGCCGCACCAGGTACTCATTTGAGGCTGAGTCGACCTAGGGGAAACCCACGACCGGTTCAGATACAATCGTCACTTGATGTTGGTGGCCGGGTTCGTAGCGCAGCGTGCCAACCACTACACCACACCCGGACACACACTCAGACTCAGGCACACCCGGACACACACTCAGACTCAGCTACACCCGGACACACACTCAGACTCAGGTACACACGGACACACACTCAGATTCAGGTACACCCAGAAAC